GATTCTATGATTCTATGATTCTATGATTCCCCCCCCCCCCCCCAGTGTCCTCTTTTTTGTTTGTGGAAATATGGTAACCCTAGTAATTCATGACTGCAATACAAGTTTGGAGCACCAAAACTGACTTTGCAGTTAATGTATATTTCTACAATTCTAAAGTACTGCAGTTCAGAGGAGAATGATAGAGTAGTAGGAAATAGATACAGTAGTTGCAAATACTCCTCTCTCTACAATTTTGACTATAATTGTTAGAAAAATATTGATCTTGATTTTACATATTTTTCTCACCATGTTTTCTGGTCTGGCTTACAAACACACAGTCTGTACCAACTTAAGTAAATTGATTTAGGAACTGAGCTAGTTAAATCAGTGCAACCTCTTCTTGTGAATACTCTTAAATTGGTTTAACCAACTTAAGCTACATCAATATAAAGCACTATCTTAAACCAATTTAAAAAACTGTCCATATAAATGATTTGCACTGATTTAACTAACTCAGTTTCTAAACCAATTTGGTTAAAATCAGTGCTACTGGTATGTGTGTGTGAACAAAGCCTACATAGATTTCTCATTCTCTACCACTACACTGACTGAATCTCAGCTAACCTTTCAGGAGCATTTTGACACAACAACCACTTTCAGCTCTCATTTTGTATTTACCATAGGGTGACCAGATAGCAAGTGTGAAAAAATGGGATGGGTGGGGAGTAATAGGTACTTATATAAGACAAAGCCCCGAATATCGGGACTGTTACCATAAAATCAGGACATCGGGTCACCCTAATTTACCAAAACAAATCCTGAGAATATGTTAAATATTCCCTGTTTGGATTTTGTATCACAAAGTGAGTTGAAAGTGCTGCCTCTGAAATAGAGTAGGCAGGCAGAAAAGATTTACCAGACTCAACATTAATGCTTTCCAGGCCTACATATACATCACCTCAATTTGGAAGAGAGCAGTAAGCTAATTGGAATTAGTCCTGTAGCTTTTACAATTCCTGCTACCTCACAACTGCTTGTGCAGTTTTAACAGCAGATGCATACATCTTCTGAGGTATGTTTTTGTTTTGACTAGTGATATCATTTGACATTTATTGAAAGAAAGCTTTTTATTTGAATAGTTAAAAGAAGATGATTAACTCATTCCTAGAAAGAACCACAAGAGAGGACCCATCAATCCTAATGTAAACAGTTGTTATAAAGTACCTACCAAAAGCCATCCAGAAGCTAAATCTGATCCAAGTCTCTCCACTTAACTGTACCATCAAGTAAATATTCACCAAGATACTGAAGGATGGCAAAAATGGCAAGAATGGAACCTAAGGGGAAATAGTTTATAAGATAGTAATGTTTTTCAAACCTTTCCGCACACGAAATGGCACATTTCAATTTTGTAACACAAATAAAGGGACTGACAGACCCACTCACCAGTGAGAGTAAGACACTCTTCCTGTTTAGTGTAAGGTTTAATCACTAGTTTCTCCAAAACTTATGCTTTCATTTAAAAAAAAAGTTTTGGTCCCTACAGCTGCAAAGAAAACCTTGTCAATTTGCACTGAACATACAGCAATGCAGTGCTGAATTCCTGAATTAATCTAGGTGGGCAGCCTGAAACAATACTTATTTTATTGATTAAAATTTATATTCAACAGCCTTTACCCACAGCTCTCAGCACACTTTATAAATAATTAAAAAGGATAACATGCCTCAATAAAAAAGCACACTCCATTTATATCCCTGTCCTTCCCAATCACCCTACCAAATAGCTTCCCATACTTCATCCCATCACTCAGCTCATCTCCACTTTCCTAACTGCCCATTACCAAAAAATCCTTATAGTGTATGTGAAAGACTTATTCATGCTCCAAGGAATCATGGCACACAGTCCAAGCAACTGGGTTTTTGTGCTAAACTGCTCCTCCAGGGCTGGGAGGAAGGAACTCTTCCCTCTAAGTTACAGGCTCTGTAGTAGTGAAGCCACTCTTCAACTGCTATCCCAACCTGAGGGCTGAAATAGCCTCTCTGCTGCTTGCCCCAGCACCCCCAAGTGGTAGGGAATAGCTGGTGGATCTATGTACTAGGCAATTTACCAGTCATATCCAACAAATCAGTGGTGTGAAAGGGGTATGGACGGTGCACTCTATGCAAGGCCTCCTCATCCAGTCTGCAGTGAAATAATACCAGAATTGATCTGAGATGGTCTAGACAATGTGGTGGTAAAAATGCCTATGACCTGTCTACACTAGCACTGTCACTATCACCAATGGAGGTACAATAGTGCAATGGTGAGGCATTGTCTGAAAAACACAAGCATAGACACAGACACACACACACACACACACACACACACTGTTTTATTAAAACAAATTTAAACTCTGCATTATTTATGTTATCTTACTCACCATAAAGGCTACTTTCTGCTGGCTCTGAGGCTGCCTCCATATGGTGAGAACTATGACTATGAAGAGTACTACCAACACAGCAAGAAGACCAATGCTCCAAGGCTCCATATTAGCAATAAAATGAATCCCATATGTGGTCAGAACACTCAACCCACACACCAGAAAAGCTGTGTGAAAAAGAAAATAAGAATTGGAAGGAAGTCAAACCTTTCAAAACTGTTTAAATAAACATGCAACTTAATCTGATAAAGCAGATCTTTACCAATAGAGACATTATCAGATGTTAAAATGAAAAAAGTCTGTTTTGACAAGAAAACACTTTATTTTGCCTTATTATTTTTCTTCAGTCAAAAATAAGATTATGGAACAAACTATAAAAATCTGTTTTCCTACCAGAATACTTCATATTTGACATTTGTGAGAAGGTACTCTAAGATGTTACCATTGGATTTGAACTTTTGTTCTGCTTAATTAAATTCCACTATTTATGGAACTTGATTTGAATGTATTGTACTTATTTGGGTATCTGTAGACTTACCTAATAGACCCACTAAAAAGCTAACGGTAGTGGCAGACTGCTCTGTAGGCAAGCTGGATGGATTCATCAATGTCTGAAGACTGAAGCGGTGCCCTTGAAGCATACTAATTTGAGATTTCCTCTCTGATCCTGTCAGAGCCTCTTTCTCTGGAGAATATTTTGGTTGCTCATAGGTTAAATTGGGTTGGTACCTATCCACAAATAAATAGATATTTATATACAAGACTGTAACAAGTAAAGAAGTTAAGCTTGTGGTGGGGGTTGAAGGAGGATGGTTATAAATACCACAGCAATCTCCAATGGTTCCACTCTACACTAGTAGCCACAATAAAAAATAAATTCTGCCCTTTCAAAATTCATGTGGCATCCCTTCTATCTTCTTTTATTTCTAGGTAGTCTACTTAATCTCTAAATTCTCTGCAAAGAGGCCTATCGTCCAACACCACCTGCCATACTGGGCACTAACATATATAAAACAATAAAGGAAGATTACACCCTGGTAACCTGGTTTCCCATAGCCTGGACTTTCACAGTTTAGAATGGAACAAGAGCAACACATAAGAACTGTATGCAGTAGGAGCTCTCAAACTGGGAATCACAGACAGGTGTTGTGGGAGAGTGGGGTCATAATCACCCTTTCCTTTGCTAAATGGGAGGGGAATCCTGAAGGAGTCATGGAATGGAAAAGACTGAGAACCACGGGTATAGAGGATACTACTAAAGGTAATATATTCTCTTAAAAAGTTAATTACAGATCACCATTTTTACAAAGCTAACACCATGTCTCCTAAGATTTTCTGCGATAATAATAAACTAGAAGAGGCTTTTTGTTTATTTTTTAACTATACTGTGGGAGGCAGTTGTTTTTCAGCAAAAATATTTATAATCTAAATAGAAAACAAAACACAATACAAAAGCCCTTCATGAGATAAAGGAAAGAGATGGAAGAGGATTTCTTGAAATACAGTAGGTCTTTTCAATAAACTTTCACTGAGATAAGCATGAGGCAGTCTATAGAAAAAAAACACTATGAAACATACCGATTGAATAAGGCTGAAATTTAACACCAACTTTGGAAAGAATGTAACATTTTTATATACATGCAACCTTACTACGGGATAGAGCATATTCTCCTGTGAGTGATAAACTAGATGAATTTAAGTTACTATTGTCAGAACTATTGTTACATTTTTCAAAATTACCAGTTTGAGTTCCTCTGATTACTTAATTAGTTTTAACCTTCATTTATTGCCCCAACTACCAGCAATACACACAATTAAAAAAACCTGTCTAATGCATTGTAATACCAATGTATCATTGTTATTCAGTTACCTTACATTAAAACTACCTTTAGATTAGCTGTAATTATAGACAAGTGTCACCTATTAGATCAGTGGCTGTCAACCTTTCCAGACTACTGTACCCCTTTCAGAAGTCTGATTTGTCTTGCGTACCCTCAAGTTTCACTTCACTTAAGAACTACTTGCTTACATAATCAGACAAAAATACAAAAGTGTCACAGCCACATTATTACTGAAAAATTGCTTCCTTTCTCATTTTTACCATATAATTATAAAATAAATAAATTGGAATATAAATATTGTACTTGCATTTCAGTGTATAGTATATAGAGCAGTATAAAAAAAGTCATTGTCTGTATGAAATTTTAATTTGTACTGACTTCACTAGTGCTTTTTATGTAGCCTGTTGTAAAACTAACCAAATATCTAGATGAGTTGATGTACTCCCTGGAAGACCTCTGCGTACACCCAAGGGTGTCCGTACCCTTGTTGAGAACCACTGTATTAGAACACAAAAGGAGCACCATTCTATAGCTTATAAGGATGCCTTGCCTTGAGACATTTCTCTGACCTTGTCAAAGGCTTTCTGAAAGTCTAAGTACACTGTATCCAGGTCCACCTAGCCCAGTATCCTGTCTTCCAATAGCAGCCAATTCCAGATGCCCCAGAGGGAATGAACAGAACAGATCATCATCAAGTGATCCATTCCCTGTCACCCATTCTCAGCTTCTGGCAAACAGAGGCTATGGACACCATCCCTGCCCATCCTGGCTAATAGCCATTGATGGACCTATCCTCCATGTATTTATCTAGTTCTTTTTTGAACCCTGTTATAGTCTTGGCCTTCACAACATCCCCTGGCAAGAGTTCCACACACTGACTGTGCGTTGTGTAAAGAAATACTTCCTTTTGTTTGTTTTAAACCTGCTGCCTATTAATTTCATTTGGTGACCCCTAGTTCTTGTGTTATGAGAAGGGGTAAATAACACTTCCTTATTTACTTTCTCCACAACAGTCATGATTTTATAGA